CTGTGAGCCGCTTGAGGCGGCGGGGCTGGTGCCCGCCGCGACGCTGTTCATCAGGGCGCTATGACGCGGCGGGCGGGCGGCCCGCGGCGACCCTGTGGGGGTGACGGGGGCCGGCGGGCGTTGCGGCAGGGGCAGGGCGCGCAGCAGCGTCGCTCGCGGCCGCTTTGGGTCGGGGGCGCATCGCCGCGCGCGGCCGTCGCGAGCGCGTGGACACGCGCGGAGAAGCGTTCGGAAGACTGCCGCATTTTACGGGGCTTCCAGCAGCGTCGCTGCCGCCGCAACGGCCTCCGCTTCGTGGGACCTTCGCTCCTGGCGCCAGGAAGCACTCGGCCGACTTTTTTTCGCACACAGAGGGAGGGTTCAAGCTTAACGCTCGATTTGCCAGTTTCGATCGGCGCCTGGCGGCTTCTCGATGTTTTTTCGCTCGCCCTCAGCGCCATGCACCCGCAAGCTTTCTTACATAGCTGCGTGCAGCGATCAAGCAAAGAACGCGGCACGCCTGGCCCCATAGGGAAGTCAAAGGAGCGAAGCCTGGCAGTCCTGCATTTGGGACGAGTGACATCAGCAAGCATTGTTGCGCTGCGTTGCAAACGGGTCGCTGCGATGGCTCGCCGCCAGTCCGTGCTGCATTCCCCATGCCCTGCCGCTGCACATGGAGACAAATCTCAGCTGTACCAACACACCCTGCAAGCGTGCCCACAGCAACGCACTCCGCACCGCGCCGGAATAGTCCCACGGGCTGCAAAGTTTGCGCCGCGTCCTGCCACTCATGAGCTTGGCATGTATATCATTCACAATCCGTCCATCCATTGCCACATCACCTACCCAGCGCCGCTGGGAGCGTTTTTGAACTTTCTGGTCAACTTTTAGTGACGGGTTGATGCGTTGGAGGGAGGTGTGTCTCATGACATGGTTTGCAGCCTGCAGTTGTGAAGCCCTTTGCGCATGACGCACCCCTGTCTGGGGCGCCGGCCAGCCGCGCTTGCGCATGCGAGGGGACGAGCTGCCGCTTCAACTAATACCAGGACGCTGTAAACGCACACGTGAAGCTAAATGTCCAGATTGGGGGCACCTCTACCTTGGGCAGCTGCTGCGGCAGCCGGAACAGCCCCACCCTTATGGCGACCCACCAATCACCATAATGAAGACAATGACAGACAAACTATCAGCCCCATTTGTAGATGATGTAGACATACCGGTAGACATTCCCGAAATACGATTGTTATGAGCCCCTTGGCCCCATTTATGCTTGATGATGTAGCAGTCACATGTATTGCAGTCTGTGAGGCTGAATAATGAAATAAGCACACCAGTCCTATGCACGGCGCCATGAACGCCGACGTTACGTAGCGCTTGGCTTGCACCTACAGTAGGGGCTGCATGGTAGTGTGCACTGGTGCACTATGTTCAAACGTGTCGGCGTCATCAGCAGTAACCGTAGCCGTGAGCGCCTCTCAATTGTTGATTCTATAAGGTTCGTGATGCGCTGTGCGCTCGCCCAAAGCTGGTTCGCTGCGCACGGGCTGGAGTCTCTTCAAATCTCGATGCAGCGCACGAGACAACAAACCCAAGCTGGTTCGCTGTGTACGGGCTGGAGTCTCTTCAGATTTCGATGCAGCGCACGAGACAACAAACCCTCGTGGACCATGCGTCGCACGTCTTTTATATAAACTTCGTGCTATTTAGCAACTAATGGAGAGACAGCCGTCCGTGTGAGCTCTCGAACAGCTTGCAGCAGGCACAGCACGCGCGCTGAGCAGGACGCGGGAGGAGGCTACGATGACCGGGGTCAGTGGAGGTGGAGCGTACAGACTTTTGCCTGTCAACGATGTCGCACACAGGTGCATGCCAGCGGAGGGCATCGTGCTGTGGCATGGCAAGTACCTCTTAGGAAGAACAGCGACAGAGCAGGACGGCTTTGCGTTTCCGGCAAATCTATCACAGCTTAGCTCTCGCCACTGCACGTTCACTCCGTCAGAGGTGGAGGTGCGCGCCAGCGATCTGCAGAGCGCAAGCGCAGCACGTGCTGTTGTTCACAACATTGTGGGGAGTGTGCCGCGTCGTGCACAGCGCAGATTTGCGATACACATAAACACATGCTCAAGCGAATGAATGCAACGGTGCCGATTGCCAAGGAGGGGCAGAGGAGGTGCCACCTGCCGCTGCCCGCCGTTTGAAAATGGATTGGCTGCTTTCCACTGCTTATGCCGCACCCAAGCGGCGACCGGTCCGCCCTTCTTAACCCTCCCGCCCGCCGCGTCGCCCCAGGGTGAACCTTGGCTGGTCACCGACACCAGCACCAACGGCACCTTCATCAACGTGAGAAACGGGGGCCGCCGCCAGGCCGGGGCGGGCGCTCCGCCGACAGCCGCCAGCGCGGCCCTCAGCAATGCGCCACGCGCCCCAGCCACCCGCCCCGCTCGTTCCTTGCTGTTTCCGCCTGCAGGGCGTGAAAATCGGCAAGGGTCAGTCCTGCCCCGTGTCGGACGGCGACCAGGTTTCCCTGAGCATCATCGTGCAGCCGGGCGCGTCGGGCGCCGCCGCAACGCAGCCGCAGGGAGTCCTGTGAGTGCGCGCCCTTCCCCCCTCCTACGGCCGTCGCGGGCGTCCCCTCCTTGCCGCTGCCTGCGGCAGCAGCAGCCGCAGCTGCCCGCTCCCTGCTGTCTGTCGCGGCGCGCCGGGAGCCAACATGCGCTGGCCTGCCGCCCGCGTTGCAACCTGCCACCAGCCTGGCCCCTGCCGCCAGCCTGGCCCCTGCCGTGGGCCGCAACGTGCTGCGCGTGAAGCACCGTGCGCCACGGGCGGCCGGGGCCGCGGCACCAGCGCTGCAAGCTTGGCTCGCTGCAGCTCGCGCTGCCAAACCTTTGCATTTTGCTGCATTACGAATGAACGCGAGAGGAGCCGCAACCCTTGGTGCACGCTCACAGTCTCAAATTCCAATATGACCCGGACGCGGCTGCGCCGGACGTCCCGAGGGTGCACACGGCGAAACGCAAGGCGGTGAGCGGGGGGGGGGGGCTGCAACGGCGCGCTGGCTGCCGCGCCCTCCCGGCACAGTACCCTGTCGCCCCGACTCTCGCGCGCGCCTGGCTGCCGTCTCAACATTGTCACTCAAGTTGCCGCGCGACCCGCCGCGGACACCCCCGCAGACGCCCGCCAAGCCGCAGCCGCAGCCGCAGCCCGCGCTGAGCGCGGCCGGCGGCGCGCCCGCAGCGTCCAAGGACGTGGCGCAGCCGCCGCCCGTCAAGCGGGGCCGGACCGGCACAGACGGGGGCGCCGCCGCCGGCGCCGACGCCGCGGCGGCCGTGGCTGGGGGTGAGGAGGGCGCCACAGCCGAGCTGCTTGCGCTGAGGCATGCAAACCAGGTGGGTTCCATGAGTCTGCCGTGATTTACGGGCCCCTCAACCCATCCACCCCCAAGAACGGGGCGGTTTCATTGCCCTGCGGCCCCCTTGAGCTGGCCGCAGCCCGGCTGAAGCCGTTGCATCGACCTGCTGGAGAAGTTGGTGTGTCAACGTGCCCTGTGTGTGGACCATGAGCCATCTCACCTATCCCCATCGATGTCGCCCCGCCGCGGCCCCCACCCGCGTGCCTGCGCGCCCTCCGGCCCCAGGAGCTGCGGCGCGAGGCGGCGGCGCAGCGTGCCCGGCTGCAGGCGCTGGAGGAGGAGCACGGGCGGCTGCAGGAGGCGCGGGCGGAGGCGGATGCCGAGATCGAGCGGCGGCGTGAGGAGGCGAGGGAGCAGGTGAACAGGCACCCTGCCGGCAGTCCCGCAACAGTTGAAACGGGTTGCCGGCCCTGGACCCCGCGCGTCGGCTTAGGGACTGACTGCGTCCGGCCTTGCCGCAGCGCTTTGAGGGTCGGCCGTACGCCTCAGCTGCCTTCTGGCTGGCCGAACGTCTGGCCGCAACAGCCCTGAACGCTGCTGCCGATTCGATCGCGCCCTCGCCGCAGGCCGAGGAGATCTCTGCGTTGAGATCTGAGATCGCGGCTGCGCAGGAGGAGCGCGAGAAAGAGGCGGCGCTGCTGGCGCAACAGCTCGAGGCGGCGCGCGAGCAGCAGCGCACAGCCGAGGGGCGCGCGGCGGGGCAGACGGAGGAGATTCGGGCGCTAAAGGTGCGGCCTGGGCCGGCCGGCGCCGGCAGCGGCGGGCGCGGGGGACTCCCTTCGCTTGGGGCGCTTGCCCTTTTGCCGGCGCCCGCCGTCTAATCCAGGCGCTGTGTTTGCGATGGCCGAGACATCAGGGCACCTGGGCTCCCTGCGCCCGCGTCCCCGCTACATGTGCCTCAAGCATAAGCACGCGGCTCCGTACCGCTGCAAATCCTATCGAAATCAGAGATGCCGCGCGTTTTTGCCGTTGCTCGACCCCAGGAGTCGCTGCAGCAGGAGAGTGCGGCTCTCAAGACGCTGATGTCGCAGGCGCTCGACTTGCAGGCCGAGCGCCAGGCCCTGCGGGACGCGGCAGAGGCAGCGGCCGCGCAGCACGCACAGCAGGTGCGGCAGCTGCAGGAGCAGCAGCAGGAGCTGCGGCGGCAGATGGAGCGGCAGGCGGCGGAGCTGGGGGAGCAGCTGCAGGCGCAGAAGGCGGACGCGCAGGCGGACGCGGCCGCGGCGCGTGCGGCGCAGGCAGACGCGGCCGCGGCGCGGGACGAGGCCGCGGCGGTGCGGGCGGACGCGGTCGCTGCGAGAGAGGAGGCGGCTGAAGCGAGGGCTGGGGCGGCGGCGGCAAGGGGGGACGCGGCGGTGGCGCGCGAGGAGGCAGCTGCCGCCAAGCAGGAGGCGGCTGCCGCCAAGCAGGAGGCGGCGAAAGCAGCGGCGCTTGTCAAGCGGGAAGCTGCGGAGGACGTGCGGGGGCTTAAGAGGCAGCTGCAGGAAAGGACCGCAGAGAAGCAGGCGGCGGACAGGGTGAGTGGGCTTGAGGTGCTGAGCCGCATTCGACACGCAGCGCATGGCCCTGCGCCATTCGCATCGAACCACGGGGTTGTGCTGCTGCTGCAGGGGGATGAGGGTGCATTTTGATCCGCCTTTCTTTGCTTTCTGAATCACCACAGGCGCCCCCTAAAAACCATGCCTGGGCCCCGCCCCCGCT